TCTCTTGCACAATGCCAAATCCACGGACGATTACGCTCAATTGGAACAGAACATGACGCTTATCGGCTTCGTTGCGATGCTGGACCCTCCTCGGGTGGAAGTCGCTGCCTCGATCAGAAAATGCAAGGAGGCTGGTATACGTGTCATCGTTATCACTGGTGACAATCGCAATACTGCGGAGTCCGTTTGTCGTCAAATTGGTGTTTTCAGCGAAGATGAGGATTTGAAGGGTAAAAGCTTTACCGGAAGAGAATTCGATAGCCTGTCGTACAACGAGAAGCTCGATGCTGTCAAGACCGCGTCTCTTTTCTCACGAACTGAGCCTAGCCACAAGTCCAAGCTCGTTGACCTCCTGCAATCCTTGGGCCACGTTGTCGCGATGACCGGAGATGGTGTCAATGACGCTCCCGCTCTGAAGAAATCGGACATTGGTGTCGCCATGGGCACAGGAACGGACGTAGCCAAGCTTGCCGCTGACATGGTGCTGGCTGATGACAACTTCGCGACCATTACCGTGGCTGTTGAAGAGGGTCGTTCGATCTATAGCAACACGCAGCAATTCATCCGGTACCTCATCTCATCGAACATCGGTGAAGTCGTCTCTATCTTTCTGACTGCAGCCTTGGGCATGCCGGAGGCTTTGATCCCTGTGCAGCTTCTGTGGGTTAACTTGGTCACCGATGGGTTGCCGGCCACAGCCCTCTCGTTCAACCCTCCTGATCACGATGTCATGAGACGCGCCCCCCGAAAGCGTGATGAACCTCTAGTCGGCGGCTGGCTCCTTTTCAGGTACATGGTGATTGGTACCTACGTCGGTGCCGCTACTGTCTTCGGCTATGTCTGGTGGTTTGTGTACAACCCTGAGGGGCCTCAGATCTCATTTTGGCAATTGGTAAGATTCGCATCCCCGCGTCTCTCCCTCATCTATTTGACGGACCTTCTAATTCATTGTTACAGTCTCATTTCCACAAGTGCTCGTCTCAGTTCCCCGAGATTGGTTGTGAGATGTTCACCAACGATATGTCGCGATCTGCATCTACTGTGTCGCTCTCGATCCTCGTCGTGATTGAGATGCTCAACGCCATGAATGCCCTCTCCTCCAGCGAGTCACTCTTCACCTTCGGCCTGTCGAATAACCCGATGCTCGTCTATGCGATCATCCTCTCCATGTCGTTACACTTTGCGATCCTCTATGTTCCCTTCTTGCAGGGTCTGTTCTCTATCCTGCCCTTGGGCTGGAAGGAATGGCAGGCGGTCCTAGCTATCAGTGCTCCTGTTATGTAAGTGATTCCTCCGTTTCCCTTGGCATGCAATATCCTCTCTGACCAGTTTCAAGCTTCATCGACGAGGCTCTAAAGGTGATGGAGCGCCGCTTGTACAACAACATCCCCGCAGTCGCACCTGTGGAACTCAATGGCAAGCCTAAGAGGGCATGAACGATTTGTTGATGAAGTGATGACTGAGATGTCGGTGATCGCCTTGATGATATATAGATTTCTTGTCCCTCCATATTCTATGTGTTTGTTGTTTTGCCGTTGGGCAGTTGATGGCATATACCTATACCTTTGGATGGTTGGGGGCGTATAGAGAAGGATGACGCGGATATCTACAGCGATGAGCCTAGCGAAGTGAGTTCTGTTCCATGTATCATCATGTGGACACTGTGCCTAGACTTTTTCTCACCTGTTCACTTGCAATCGATTGTTCTCCTGCTTAGCTGAATACTTTTTTTTTTACCAACTGAGTCCGTTCTAGATAGATGAATGTGTCAGATGTATTATTTTCCACTGTGCAGTATGAAGCGGAGCGTATGGCTTGAAGACAAACAATGCAATCCCGTGACATGGATATATGGCTGGTCTTCCTTTTCAAGTGCTGTCTGTCCTCCCTGTCCTCAACCCCCTCCTTTCACCCTAGTGTCTGACTAGCCTTAATTCACCCCAATGAACACACTGCCATGATAGGTGATTGAATAGGTTGATTTGAGACCACCCGGTTCATCATGAATTTCAGCCTAAATTTCAATTGCGGGGAAACCGGGGCCATCGTGAGAATGCCCGCTGCAATCTTGTCCTCTCAACCCTGACCAACTGGAACATTCCCCCGGATGATTTGGCCTTGTCCCCAACCCCCTCTATTTCCTTATTTCCCCATTCTTGATTCTGTGGAGAGAGTCCGGGGAAATGATGAGAAGGGACCTGGGCTCAGAGAGATGCAATTCAAGACTATTGTCGGTGGAGAAGCCACATACATACCCCTCCTTCCCTCCCTCGCTCTTTAGTGGCTTTGTCGTACAATCCCAATCACCTACTTATCCGCAAGAGACTGCTCTGTGCATGTCCTGTCTGCCTCTCTCCTCTCTTGTCGTCTTCCCCCGTTCTCAGGTAGGCTGCTTTCTCCTTGTCGCGCCCAAATGGGGATCATGCACTTTCTGAAGACTCGGACTGGGCTCCGGGTCGATAATAGCAAAACCACCTCTGCTGCCACCCTTACGTTGCGCCAGAGTATCTGGCCCTTGACTCTCGTCACCATACTCTTCTTTCTCTGGGTGAGCGTTCTAGAGCAAGGAATGAACATATGTAGTGGTAAGCGCTGACATACTTGCGCTGCAGGGATTCGCCTATGGCCTACTAGACACACTTAACAAGCATTTCCAGAATACCATGCACATCACTCGTACACGTTCTTCCGGACTCCAGGCAGCTTACTTTGGGTCAGCATTCTCTTTCACTAATATGCCTCTGTTAAGAAGAGGGCCCTCTGGTTAACAACTTCAAGTGCTTATCCACTGGCGTCCCTTGGTTATGCGAACTACATGCTCCGCCATTTCGGCTACAAGACTGTTTTCATCTTCGGGCTGACTCTATATGGGATCGGCGCTCTGTGCATGTGGCCCGCAGGCTTGCATCGTTCATTCGGAGGCTTCTGTGCAGCCACTTTCGTTATTGGCTCCGGCTTGGGGTCTCTGGAGACGGCTGCCAATCCATACATAACTGGTGAGTGGAATATATGTGGACCCCTTAAGCTCCATCCTTTCATGGCTTGAGCGAGGAATGAGGAATGATGATTAGAATGGGTTTCTAGTCTGTGGTCCACCCAGATACGCTGAAATGCGTATCAACCTTGCCCAGGCCTTCAACGGTATCGGAACCTGCGTGGCGCCAGTGCTAGCTTCATATGTCTTCTTCACCTCCGTGGGTGACGATGTCAATGCCCTCAAGCGCGTTCAGTGGGTCTATCTCGCCATTGGCATCTTTGTCTTCATCCTTGCGGGCATTTTCTTCATCTCTTCGATTCCCGAAGTGACCGATGAGGACATGGCCTTTCAGGTTGCCGAGACACACGCGGACGAACAGGAAAAGCCACTCCGGAAGCAATATAAGCTCTTCCATGCCACACTGGCACAATTTACTTATACAGGCGCACAAGGTATGAATCCATGCCTGCATACATATGCTTGCCTTATCTGGAGCTCCAACTAACCTTTTCCTTTGACATACATCAGTTGCTATCGCAAGCTATTTCATCAATTACGTTACCGAGACCTGGCCCGGAACATCTAGCGCCACAGCTTCCAAGTATCTTGCCGGTGCCCAGGGTGTCTTTGCGGTTGGTCGCTTCGCTGGTGCCATTATCATGAGATTTGCAAAAGCCCGTTGGGTGTTCTTAGTCTATCTCTCCTGCACTGTTGCTTTCATCGCTGCTTCGATAACGCAACATGGCTGGACAGGAGTCGGTACGTCCCACCTCGCCTCTCGTGTTCTATTTTTTGTCCAAAAGCACGCATGCTTCGTAAACAAGCCCCTTGTCTCTCGACCTCTCGTCCAGCATTTCCTCTGCCTCCTCTTTCTTCCTGCTCTTCCTCTCATACCCCGGCTCTGCCGCGGAGGATGCCGAGCTGACTAACAACAATGATATATTCACCAGCAATGCTCTTCTGCACCCTCTTCTTCGAATCCGTCTGCTTCCCAACGATCGTCGCGCTTGGTATATGCGGCTTGGGTAGGAACTACAAGCGGGCCTCCGGGCTCATTGTTGGCGCTGTCTGCGGCGGAGCAGTCGTACCCCCAATTCTCGGTCGAGTGGCGGACGCACGGAACACGGGCTTTGCTATGATCGTGCCGACCTTGTTTTTCGTTGTTGCATTGTCGTATGCCTGGGCAGTGAACCTCGTGCCTGCGTACCGCGAAACGGTGGACAAGGTGTACTCCAGTGGTGTTGGGCTTGGAGAGGAGAATGTTATGACTAAAGATGTGGAGGATGGGACCACAGCCAAGATTAGATAGTGAAAAGGATTGGAGCATTTTTATCCAGCAGTGGACGCTTTTCGCTCATACCGTGATTTAGGGTCGGCATTTGTATGTTTGATCTACCTTAAATTCTTCAATGCAGGGAGGACCGTGATATATACATAGTGCCTGTTACTGGAACTAAGCCCCACGCGGCTCCGTCATTATCCTGTAAACAAGGGTTGTGGGAACTGATAAGACTGAACATCTTCCAAAAATTCCAGGCACAGTCAGGGACACATGGGCAGATCTCTGACAAAATATGTATGTAGGTGATTAGGTAGATATGTGGAGCAAGATATCACATTATAATACAAAAGAAACCGGCGCGAAGTGCGTGGCAAATATGACGTGGGGTGTTTTTTGAAAATGCAAAGGCAACCCTTGAAAGGTAATGGATAAAAAAAAACTGGAGTGGAGAATAGGAAATGAAGATTTTAGCGGCCAAAAGTCACCTTCCCAGGCTTGTTTATCATTGCGTTGCCATTTGTCGAACAGTCACAGATTGAAAATTGTCCAAAAAGGAAAAGAAACACAGAAAATCAAAAACTGGCCCGCAGAGACGCGAAAGGGGGTATAAATATGATGAAATATGCAAAGAGAACAGATAGAATTGAAACATGCCAAGATGAAATCTAGTATGTCCGGCTGCTGTTGCCTGAAGGCTTTAACAGCAGTCTCATTGAAGGTTTGCATCAGACACAGTGATCTCTATTCGGCAACCGTTGAGAACGGCGGCGTTGACAATGAAGACGAGCGGGGCGGGCGAGGACTAGGATCAAAGTCCGGGGCAGGGGCTAGAGCGAGTTTGCGAGTTGGCTCAGGAGGCGATCCGTCCATATGCTCAAGTCCAAGGTAATCGTCCGGTTTTACCAGATCAACTGGTGATCCTGGACCATCCTCTAGGCCGCTGAAGGTATCCACCTCCTCGATGTATTCTTCTAGATCTTCTTCTTCTTCGATAATTTGACTCTTCCGTGCTGCAGGCCGAACAGCATTCGCAGCAACAGAACCCTCAGTACCATAATCCACTTGAGAATATTGCGAAGCAGGCACGCCACCAGATACCATCAAGTTTGCAGTATGAATCATAGGGCCCTTGAATGCGGATCGTTTGCGGCGGGCAAATACAAGGCTTGAAGAAGGAGAATAAAGTAGCGGGGTCGGGGCTGCCTCGTTGAACACTGATTGGAGTCTCCCATTGTGATCGTCGATGTCCCGAATTCCAGTATGCGTACCTCGGACCAAGCGAATATTGCTTGGGAAACGAGCAGAGGCGCTTGGTGTCGTGGGCAAGACTTTCACAGAAGAATGTGGTGATTTGGTGATTCGAGCGGTCGGTGTCGAAGTCGAACCAATGCTATTTGAGGATACGGATGAGGCCTTAGAGTGGGTATGGGTATGGTGAATGCTGCGGATAGACGAGACAGACGAGGATGTCGACTTGCGCCCACGCAAGCCTGCAGACGACCGTCGATAAGAGCCCCTTGGAGTTATTGGGGAGGGCGACAGGGAATTTCGATGTGTTTGACCTGTACTAAGTGGTCGAGGTTGCCGAGGAAATGAGTGACGGTGGTTCGGATAGGAGGCACTGCTTGGAGCCAAGCTGCTAGCATTCGATGAGCGTTTCATCTGGGTCGGTGTCGATAAGTCACCTTGGTGTCCAATGGCGGCAGATGGCGATGTCGGTTTCTTTCCAGCCTCTTGTCCTTTTCCTGGGCTTAATCTTTCCGAAAGGAACTTGCGATGCCCACCTTGGGCACTCGTAGCCTTTGCGTGCGGTGACTTGGCCCTCTTTGCAGACTCCACAAACCAGTGCTTGAGAGAGGCCAGCTGACTTATAATCGGATACTGACGGCGACCAGTACGCCTTCTGAAAAGGCCGTTGTGTTGCGCCAGTTCCGGTTGCGAAGCGCTGGCGTGCAAGGTGCTCGGCCGCCGGGCTTGATCTTTGGGAGGCGGTACGGGACGAGGTCGAGTGGAACTAGCGGAGCGAACAGAGTCCTTGTCAATGGGCGGAGGGGGCACGCTAGAATCTGGAGACTGCACGGGAGCTGGCTCAGGAAGCATGGGTAGTTCTGGTACAGTGAGCTGGGATGGTAAGCTCCGCCTGTTCCTACGTCCACGTTCATGGAGAGGGCCATCAGATGATGCGTGCCCCTCCTCATCCACTTCAACTAAGGCTGCGGAAATCTTTTCCAACCGACTGCTCGCTGCGCTGAGCCGGCGAATGTTTTTGGCCTCAGCCTCACGTTCTCGGCGTTTACGCTCTCTCTTTCGTTCTTTGCGTTGCTCTTTTTCTATCAGCAATGCCCACCAGCCGGCGAGTGGGTCACATCGTTGAGAGAGGACGCTTTCCACAACATCATCGATGTTCAAACCCGCACTCTTCATGCGCTGCAATGTTGTCTTCTCGAGCGGGGTTGAAAATGGCGCCGGACGTGGGATCTTCAGAATCGCTAGCTGTTCCGAAGCAAACTCGGCGAGAAATGGATGTCCGAGAATTTCACCCAAGACCGGCCTAATCAAAGGTCGCTTTGACAAGAGCAGATTGATGAGAGCTTTGGCATCCTCGGGAAATCTTTCATTGTACGCCGGCTCATCGTTGAGGATGCGAGCTTTGGTGACTTGATCATCATCGTCGTCGAACGGAAGTTCGCCCGCAAGTAAAGCGTATAATATGATTCCTAAGCTCCAAACATCCACTTTCTCGCCGGCATATTTCTCCCCCTTTAGCATTTCGGGAGCACTATAGCATATTGTGCCACAAAATGTCTGCAGATAGCTTGCCTTTCCCTCATATTCTCTTGTGAAACCGAAGTCACAAAGCTTGACATTTTCGTGCTTGTCAAGCAGGATATTCTCTAATTTGAGATCGCGGTGTACACAGGACTTGCTGTGAACATATGCCACAGCCCCAACTAATTGTGTGAATATCTTTTTGACTTTCTCAACGGGAAGTGGGCCATGTTGAAGGAGATGATTGTACAGCTCATCACCTACCAGTGTCAAAAATCATAGATCGCAAACATTCCAGGCTAACCTACCTGGACAATATTCCAGCACTAGCCAAACCAGATTTTCTGTCACAATAACTTCGTAGAGGCGAGCGATATGGGGGTGAAGAAACTGACGATGGTGATGGATCTCGCGCGCCAGGTTCCTATCCTCCTTACTCGAAGACTTGAGTACGACCTAAATATGACATGCCTTAATACATGCTTCGGATTGCCTGCACAGTCAAGGAGACCTACCTTAGAACCATTGGTCAACTTATGAGAGGCAAGGTAGACCTTGCCGAAGGAGCCTTTTCCTATTAACCGCCCAAGTGTATAATTGCCTACAGTACGGAGGTCTTTCGAGGAGAATTCCCTACGATCATCAAGTCTGGTCAGCAAGGTTGTCGGGGTTCTGACAAGGTAGGCACTCACTCTAATAATTCATTATATGACTGGGCAAGCTGTCAAGTCGCATGGATTTCCATTAGTACCAGGCACAGATCATGTAGGAGAAAAAAAAAAGGGGGGGGGTTCCAATGAGAAGTATGTATTGATAGCAGCTCTCCCCACGCAGAGGCGTTGTCATCAATAACGGTATGTTGGGCAAGCACGCCAAGTAGCGACTCTACATACCTTTTCCTTTTGTTTCTGGGCTTGAACCTCCGCTCTTGTCCTAGGGGGTGGCATGTGTTTCAAGCGTTTATCTCCGCCTGGCCGGGAAATGTCCGGTGAGCTGAGAAGTTTGGAGAATTGTATCGATCGGCTGCCTGAGAGACTAGACCACCGGGAAACCCATACAGCAGGCTATGTATCGAGAGAAGGTTGCAAGGTTGAACTAAGGTTCGACAATGAGGACGGAGTTTGAGCGGCAGGCGAGGGGAATCGGAACTCGCGGCCGCCACGGGAAAAAGTATGGAGGAAAGCTAATCGAGACAGGACGTTCAGAGCAGTCGGTAGGGGGAGAGATTATTCGAAGTTGAAGCAGAGAATACGACGAGAATTGAAGCTTGGTTCAATTATAGTTGATGTAGTAAAACTCGAGGCGTCGGGGTAAAAAGAAAAGAAAGTAAATTGGATCAATATCCACAGGAGCCGAAAGCTGATCGGGCTCGGAGACTAAAAAGGATGACGGAATGGGGCTAGACAGAAAAGACAAGAAGTCAGCGAAGCTGTGCCTAACCCGACAATGTATGCGGATTTGACCAGGGCAACAACCAAAGAGAGAATCACTGACGAACAGCAGGAAGGATGAGCCACTGGGGGAATGACTTAGTAGAGTAGAGGGCCTATTATGTCAGGCAAACACATACCAGACAAAATAGGCACTTGCCAGTAGTACAAGTAGTCGGCGTGGGCCTCGGGGAAGAAGGGGGGTGGGGGAAGACGACTGCAAGGTCGAAAGGGGAGAGAGAGCAAGAGTACTATGTGAAGATAGTTTGAAATGCACCGAGTCCCAAATGAATAGTGAAGTTCAGTCTACCATTGAGGAGATGGGGGGGGTAAAGGAGGGACAATATACTCAAATTTAATGAGGTGAAGGAAAGAATCAAGAAGAATAGTGGGTTGAGGCGGGCTTTTTTTTTCTGGGCTTGCAATGATGAGGGGAAAGAGACGAAGAAGGAGAGAGGGAGAGAGACGAAGAAGGAGCGAGGCACTGACGACAGCAGGCAGGCAGGGGGAGTGAGGGGATAACTATGTGCATAACTGATGATTAGGAAGCTACGTAGCTAAATAAGTTACCTAAGTTAGTTAATTAAAGTACGAGTAGTTGACTTACCTAGTAGTCTACTACATCAGTCAATACGTAACTCGACTCGACTACTTTGCTCCTACACAATATCCAAACTACAGGCAAGATTTTCAATCGATTGATTTGAGTCACTTGATATATACTTAAAATAAAGAGTTGGAGTTATATGCCTACTGCTCACCACTCTGTTCTTATCCTGCTCATCAACAACTCACTTGAGTGTTCATCTATTTAGTAATACTTCTCCATTCTTAGCCGTCCGCCACAATCTAGCCGGGTGGGAACGTGGACTACTAAGTAAGTTACTGGTGCCATGGCATTTATCATCATTATGCAATGACATCAACGTGTAAGCCAATATGTATATAAAAGTAAACAAGCCTCTTGACTTGTCTTTGCTCAGCTCAGCTCCGTCCTTCCTGCTCCCAAAAGACTCCTTCCGCCCCGTGTCTGACCTGGGTAGCACCTGGGGTAGGTACAGTACATACATGTACAGTAAGTTAGAGAGGACTCGACTCGACTCGACTCGAATGACTTAGTAACTACTAGGTACGGAGTACGGAGTACGGAGTCCTAGTATAAGTTACTAGGCACATAAGTGGTATAGCCTAGGTTGCGCAGCGAGTCAGACCTCATTCCAACCCCTGAAGCCAAACCGTTTTCAACTCATCATCTCATCATCCATGATCCGTAACGGCTAGTCTACCCGGCAGTCGTTCCTTGTAAGTTTAATTTCCCTCTCTTGGGCTCGAATACACTACCTACGTCCGTACAGTATTCAATTGATTTAGCCAGTATTGACTCCAAACTACTACACTATGGTTCACATCCACACTGCGAAAACCCCTTAGACTGAACAACCTCAACAATCACCCTCCCCACACCCCCACCCCCTTCGCTCCCCTGCCCTGACCAAAATCAATTTGAAACTGCTAAATGCTTCCCACCTAATTAGCCACATACACAATTGTCACCAATGGTTTCCACGTCACACCATCATTGTCTTTTGCGGCACTGAGTTTATGACAGTTGCATCTTCCGAGTCACATACTCGGTCGTCAAGACCGCCAGCGAACATCGAAATCTGGAGCAACTAATGAACGTGCTGGAGCTAGGGCACGGTGTCCCGTTCGTTGATTTATATACCAATCGTGGGTAGTGAAACTGGCCGACGATCAGGGGCACTGTCCCCAGCACCCCGTTATCTTGTCCGTTAGTCTCGTATCTACTGGTTCAAATATTCTCTTGCCACCAGGGAAGAGAGTGCAGGTGGTCCAGTGCCCGTTGGCTTATACACAGCGCTGGATCAACATCGTCCAGCCCTTCTTCGCCTTGAAACGCAAGGGCCACCAGGCCAAAGTAGGAGTGTAGAAGATCTGCAGGGCGGTAATGAGTGAGTGGAAAAAGCCGAATAAGGAACTTTGGACAGAGGAAACTCACCAGGTGGTTCCCCAACGCCTTTCCCAAACCCCCCAATGATGTGCTGCGTCTTGTCCAAGAGATATTGGCGGTTTCGATCCGCGTCGACCAGCGCTAACCGGTCCATCATCTGTGCGCAATAATCAAATCAGATAACGCCCATCGAGTATTAAGACACAGGGTTTCTCACAGCCAGAGTTGCCAGATTCCAGAAAGAATAACATGTGTCGGCGTTCTTGTTGCATCGGCCATTAAAGCCAGCCCATCGCAATGACTCCTCTGTTGGCGGGAAAAGGGCAGGGAGTTCATCCACCTCTGTTCCAGGGTTGACAGCCTGGCCTGCCGCTACTGGTAATGGTTTCTGACCTTCACCAGTCTCACACTTTTCGTAGTCCTCATCAGACTCTTCCTCTATTTCACCAAGCTCGGCCGTCTGTCGGGAGATCAACCAACGGACCAAGGACTCGAACTCCATCGCACCAGGTGAGAGTACTGCTGGCAGGGGATGATTCCTCTCCATTCGACTTAAAAAGGACAAAGCGCCCATCGCGCAATAGGTATGGCCGGCTACAACCCGATCAGTCGGGTGATCAATATCAAGGAGTTATTGAGAGATTCAAACGTACAGTGTGCTTCGCAAAACGGTGCTTCTCCCATGCCGCCGTCATAAGCCTGAAAGTACCATGCAGTTAGCAAGCGCATGAAATAGTGGTAAGGTATGTGTGGACTGTGAGGGTAGAGGATCACAAATGTATGTCGGAGCCCTAACCTGACAAGCCTGAACGAAGGCTGCCATCTTGGATACATCGATATCACTCAGCCCCTGTATGTCTGCGCCACCAAGTCCCCTTAGAATATACCTCGTCCCTGCCGCGCAGCAGCAGAAACGCAAGTCTCCACCTCCCTCTATCTTGCCTCCAGGCCCTAACACTTCGCCGAAACTGCCGTTCTCGCGCTGCAGCCGAGGGAGCCATTGCAGACATTCTATGCGCTTCACTCGTGATAGATCATCGCCCAGGATAACCAAGATGACAAGCGCAAAGAACGTGGACGGCACATTGGCTGGATCCCAAGCTTCATTCACTGGCGATCGAGATTCCACCCCAAAGTCTGTCCCAGTGAAACCTCGAAAGCCCCCTGTAGGCACCTGGCAGTGATAGATCCAGTCGATATACCCTTGTCGCTCTTCGGAGGTGGTCTTGTCTTGGAGTACGCCTAAAAGGTCGAGGCCGGCAACAGTGAAGAAGGCGAGAAGCATGCGATTGGAGTCATTGGATGTGTAGGGTTCTGGAAGAAACGTCTTGAGGCATCGGAGGAAGTACTTGATGTGACGCTCCCTGTTGAAAGTGATCTCATTCATGTTGTCAGTCTTGGTCGGTCCACGAACCTTCCTGGGTTCGGGTGCGGGGAGTTCGGTCGAAGGAACCTCGGAGGTGGACATTCAGAACCTGCAGTAGCTCGAGGGTAAAAATAGAGGTAGAACAACAGACGGTATTCAAAGACAACTCAAAGGTCTCTTTCCATCGACTCGATGATCTCGCAGACGCACGGCTGACCCCATAACGGACTGCTTTCTTCCTCGACTGATCCGTCGGCGAGCGGAACTTCGATCCAGGGCGGCCCCACATCCGGCGGACGAATTCCCCGTGCTCCTGTCGACAAAACATACAGCTACGTGTGTACAATACAGCAATCACACACCCCAATATGTCAGGAGGTAATCCACTCCACCGTTCACACCACTGACAACCTCTATCACACTCACTTGAATGTGCTCCCGATCACAATAGCCTCCATGGGCTTCATATCCTCCAAAACCCTCATACAGGCTCATGCCTTTTTGCTAGTCTTCCTAGCCGTCCATTTGATGAGGTCACCAGCAGTCATCACCGACTCCGACGTCGTATTCATGCTAGGAGAGCTCCTGCAATTGGTAGTTACATCAGTTCCCCAACAAGCCCCCCGACTCTGAAGAACATGTAGTTGCTAATGGATTCTCTTTACCTCTGCTGGCTAGGATGCATCTCCATCGTTCTCCCGTCCTCAATCCCCCTTTGCTCTGTGCGGAATCCTTCTGATCGTCGACGCCCTGGTCGACTACATCCTTGTTTCCAAAATTCCGCAGACCAATGAGGTCCTTGCAATGGCTGAGGCTGCACGGTCTCAGGCTCCGGGCTCTGTGGCAGGGGCTATGCGCGCGAACCCCTTTATGGCTCGGCTCGGCTCGCTCTACTCAGAAGTCTGGACGTTCCTTTCCGCCACACGCTTTTGTGTCTTCTTCGCCGTCTCATTTTTCATCTACCAAAGTCAGCCGTCTGCGAGCGGTATCATGGTGGACTCAGGGGCTGCGTCTGCATCGGCACAGCTTAAGAACCGGGCAATTTTCACATTCGTGTTTATGGAGATGATGTTCTGGCTCTGGGTGGGTTTTCCCCTCCCCTTCTCTATCTTTCCTTCTCCTCCTGCGGAACTAAGTGCTGGCTTTGAGGGCGTCTTCCCTGTGATTTGTACGAGACTTGCACTGCACGTATGAGACTGATATATCGTGCTAGATATTCGTTACTATCCGGGAGGAGAAACAAGCAGTGGCTTCACGGTTTGTAGAGCGTGATCAATAGCTTTTCTATGTTATGGCACATAGAAGGCAATGCTAGGAATGTAAGTGCCTCGTGGCAGAAAAACATGCTCGAGTTCGCACCCCACATATCACAATTGTTGATGGCCTCCTTCGGGCTGCGCCAAACGGATTCAGTTCTCAGAGGCTTGAAAGTCCAGCGTGAGACTAGTGCTTGAAGCAGATATCACATCGAGAAGATGGCGGCGGGGGACCATGACAAAGTCATCCCGCCAAGCCTTCATTCGAAATTGTTATGTCAATGTACGTACATTATCCCTAGGCAAGAAATGCAACGAGAGCCATGCCGACGGCCGCAAAGATACTAGCGTCAGCATACGGCGAGAGCGGGACACCGCCACCCGTGGCAGTAGGGCTACTTCCAGTGTTTGTCTTGACGGAGGTCACTGGCTGGGTGTTTCCTGATGTAGACTGGGTCTTCGTGCCTGTGAGGGTGGTAGTGGCAGAAGCAGTGCTGTTACCGGAGGAGTTGACGGGAGAAGTGGTGGTAGAGGCGCTGGTGGCATTAGTCGAAGTGACCGAGTTGGCACAGCTCGCACTGCTAGGCAGATCTGTCACACCAGCACCACTGCAAAGCTGTACTGTGAACCCGAGAGCAGCTGGGAGGGTGTCAAGGTTTGTTAGCGAGTGATTTATCATCCGGTGTGATATTCCGAGAGTATGTGAATCCCACGTATCAGACGGGAAAGAAGTGCAATGTACCTTTTTCGTCCTGAGGTGAGCAGGATTTGGCAACGCAGCAGGACATATCGCTGATGAAAGACTTGGTGCCGCAGATACAGCCAACGTCAATAGACTGACAGGTCTTGGGGATAGCGCCAGTAGCACACTCTCTCTTGACTCGATACATAACGTTAGTGGGCGGTTAAACAGCGGCCAACATGAAACCGAATGTCACGACGGCTCTGAACGATCTTGCACTTACAGCACATACTGGGAGACTGTCCATGCCTTGAGCCACGACCGAGATAAGGCCGGCGAGGAATGTGATAGCTATGTAGTAGAGCCTCATTCCTGAATCGCAAGTGCGTAATGCTGACGACGCGGGGATTAGCTTCCAGAAGGGATATCAGAAGAAGGTCGCAGGCCGAAGAGATAAAGGATTGATTGAGGAGAAGAAAGGGGATGAAGAGGGAGCCAGGATTCCAGTAAAACCAGAAGAAGCGAAGGAAGAAAAGCTACGGAGGGCCGCGGGCGCTCATGCTCCTTACTTCTGAAACCTGTGAATAACTAGGCTTTGTAATATTGCTAATAAGTAACCACAGATTTCAGGACGGAGTTTAATTATACCACTGTTATATACTACTGCTATTCTCTCTACACCAGATTTGTTACACTGTCTAATTAACATTATCATCACAAGAGGAGAAAATGACTCGACAATGTGCCTTTGGACACCACATTGAAAGCCGTTTTCTATACGATTTCAAGTGTAAGCAGTAAGCCCATCTGTAGCAGGGACTCTGTCATATTCAAGGCTGAACATCTATAAGCAGTGCTTGACATCTGTATCCATGGAAGTTGCTCTAGTATGCATAAATAACTAACCATTATTTCTGCTAATACTAACTAATAAGTTAGCAACTAATACTAATACTAAGTTAATACTTGTGCTAGTAGTACTACAACTACCACCACTACCCCATCTTATATACGGAGCTTTTTGACTAAGTACTGTATTGGCAATATACACTTGCAGTAGAGTATAGTGAATAGGGGAGGTAGTACGCACCAGTCACCTTGGTTGGACAAAGTGTATGCCTGGTTCCACTCAGCCCGCGCTAATCTTTAGAGCTCCAATCTTAAAATTTCCCCCACACCTCCGCGTTCCCCGTGTGTCCCGCAGTCGAGTTACATTAGTACAGTACTGTACATACATACAGCTAGTGAGGGACCAACCACTTACTGGAAAGCAAGGGGTTTATAGGAGCGCAGGAGGTTTCCCCAAGAGAAACCAATTGCTGTAGATGGTTCTTACCAGCAACACACGCCTATCTGTCCTTGAGACCGGAATATTATGCGGAGTGTACTTAATGTAATTGGTGTACTGAACTGTACATTATAATGATACTACGTTCCATGAGATCAGACCAAATGCATGTGAAGTTAGCAAAAGATTAAACTTCCTATGATTGACACCGGGGCATAGCTGCGGTAGAAGAATGTTGGGAACTGCAATGGCATTTTTGTCACCAGCAAACAGCAATATTACAAACTGTGGAACTGTCACTGGCCCTCTTTCTGTTCTTCGGCTGGATCAGTTTCCCACCATCTCACAGACCATTGATCCCAGCTTCTGCTGACCCGTTAACCAGTGGATCCCTGGCAAGGCTCATGGTGTTCAAGGTTCCTTTCTCTCATGCCTCGTCCCTTTTAGAGACAAAATGACGAGTGACAGTACACGGAGATACCATTTCTACACCTAAAGACTTACATTTACTTGTCACCATCCCACGTCCCACCTTGACAGAGTCGACAACCATATTTTAGGCTGCTAGTCAATGCATATCTCTCTCTGGGAATATCCATCTGGCTTCAGAAACCATTGAACAGGTCAACCCTTTTCAGTCACAATGGGACTAGGAGTGTTAGATACAACGGATGTGCATGTGCCAGGTAGGAAACTGTGCTTGTTGCATGGATGACATAGATGAGACTGAAGGACTTCGAGCAGGAACATCAGACATCTTTCAAACGCAGTGCTCCTATGATGGTCAACTACCTGATCCTAGACTGAAGTATGACCGCACATCTTCGATACCAATACTTCTTGTTCCACAACCCAGCGATGATCCCAATGATCCATTGGTGCGTATAAGCAGAAAGAAGAAAATTTTCAAGATCGAGGTGGCATCGACTAATACAACATGGCATAGAATTGGCCACTGTGGAAGCGCGATTGCATTCTGTTCGCTCTCTGCTTTGTCTCCGTCCTGTGCGCAACAACAAGTTCACTAATGGCGGCCAATACTGTAACCATTGCCCTATACTTTGGAAAGAATTTCACATCGGTCGCCCTTCTTACAGGATACCATCTTTGCGGTGTGGGGGTTGCAGGGATCCTCATCGTGCCTACCGCACGCGTCTGGGGCAAGCGCCATCTGTTTCTATTGGGAAATATTCTAATGGCGGCGAGCTGTGCCTGGGCAGGGGCCAGTAAGCATAATTACCAGAGCCTTCTCTGGGCGCGGCTCTTTCAAGGTGTTGCGCTGGCACCCTTCGAAGCTTTGGTCAATGCCTGTGTCGGGGACCTATTCCACGTTCATGTGAGTTTCTCCCCATTGTTGTTATGTCTGATAGATGTCGAGTCCGGCGCTCATGAGATGAATTCTTAGGAGCGGGGCAAGAGGATGGCACTGTCCAACGTTACCTTGTTTGGGGCTGCTTTCCTCACACCTGTCCTAGCTGGCAAAATCACCCATAGTCTGGGCTGGGAATGGACATTCTATCTGGTGTCGATTTTCACGGCGGCAGCACTTCCTCTTACCTTCTTTTGCGTCCCTGAAACTGCATTTCGGCGCCCGAGCGAGCTGGGCATGGAAACAGTCTATGTACATGGCCGCCGCTCGGAGACTGTTGAAAGCCAGCTACCACAAGTCGATCCTGCCGGCGATGATGCTATCCAAGTACGTCGCGAGGTAGGCGGACCAGTGCAACATGCACATTCTACCACAGGAAGACATAGAGGAGGTTCTACGTCCAAAGAAATACCTCGAGATGTTTCAGCTGAGACTGAGCCCCCCGCCAAGGTTCCCTATCTGCAGACTCTCAAACCCTTCAATGGCCGGAAAACCGACGAAAGCTTCTACAAGCTTCTTCTGCGTCCATTTTCCCTATTTTTCCACCCAGCCATTCTCTGGGTAAGCCGTCACCTGCAAGAAACGAGATCATTTTAGCAGCTTCCTGACGTCCAAGATTTTATAGGCATGTCTGATCCAGGGCGTCATTATCGGATGGACTGTCTTCATTGGCGTGGTCCTGGCGGCCATCTTCCTCGGTCCTCCACTGTGGTTTAACGAAGTGCAGACGGGTTATCTCTACACTGGTGCATTCATTGGATCCATTCTGGGCCTGGTGATCTCGGGTCTATTGTCCGATTGGATGAACCAGATTATGATCAAATTCAACCGAGGACGATACGAACCCGAGTTCCGGATCCTCCTGGTCATCTTCCAGCTGATATTCAGCGGGGCCGGGCTGTTTGGCTTCGGCCTCGTTGCTGAGGATATTGCAAGCTACGGCTGGCTCGTAGCGGACGCCTTTTTCGCGTTAGTCATCATCGGGATGGTGATGGGCGCGGTGTCCAGCGCCCTGTACATTGTGGATGCACATCGTGAGTGAAGCTATGTACCGGTGGTCTGAGCCAACTCATAACGAATAATAACAGGAAACATTGCCATTGAATCGTTCACCTGCATGTTGGTGTTCAAGAACCTGTTCAGTTTTGTGCTGACTTTTTTCGCCTACGATTGGTTATTAACAAATGGGATCCGGCCAGCGTTCTTGGCGATTGGCAGCATTCAAATGGCTATTTGTGCTCTCAGTGTTCCTATGTGTAGGTTGCCTTGTCTGCTACCAATGATGTTGAGATCGAGCCGCTCTGCTGACTGGAAGGTAGATTTGTTTGGCAAGTGGAACCGCTCTTTCTTTCACCAACACGATATACTGAAGATCTTGCATCTGTGGTAATCTCATGAAACGGCACGACTTTCCTCGGGACGGACACGGTACAGATCTTGTCATTCTCAACTCATAATAGCACATTAGGAGACAAATTGCCTCCAACAAGTAGACCAGCAGGAAAAACCTGACACTCCGAAGACAGCGCCAGCGCCAGACAGAAAGAAAGCATGTAATTGCTCAATGTGCCCATAAAAAGAATCCAAAATTGCAAATACGATAAGTCGGTCGTGAAAATCATAAATGTCGTTGGCATCTAGAATCAGGTGCTTCTTCCATGCGCCTTGGCTGAACAAAAATCAATAATTCGATGCAAAAACTGTGTCTGACGCGATGACCGCGATGGTCGCAACCTGTAGCACCAAATCACCATCAGTTTGTTCTGCGCGTGCTCAGCCAGTTGGGAGCAAGCTAACGTACCAAAGCCAAATCCACCCCGGGAGTCACAATGACATCCAACACAGGCCTGTAGCCCACGCGCGAGGCTGGCATCAAGGCCAGCTTTTCGTTATGGCGGATACTTTCCCTCACTTCCGCGATCTTACGATCCCCATCAACGATGTCGAACAGTGCGAGGACATTCCCATGCCGCTGTACCTCTAGGGTCAGTACCCGTTCCTCAGGCTGTTTGCCGTCAACGGCGGCGACGTTATCAAAGGTGATGGTGAAGTTTCCCCCGCGCGTGGTCGAGCCAAAGGAGGCGGCCGATCGGCGACTTGCCCGACGCCGCGAACCCGTAGCCAGTGGAGAGTAGGTTTTATCCTTGAGGGACGAGCCCGGGAGCGTGACGGACCAATTGTTGCGGAAAGAGAGGCGTCGGTGCAGCTCAAACAGCGGAAGCCCCGAGGCATCGCGGAATTCGCGGCAAGGACGGTGCGAGAACTTGCGGCCGGTGGCGGTGAAGAGGGTGATTCCATCAAGGTCTTCGATCTTGTACGCCACGGCAGATTGGGCATCGCCTTGGGGGCGCACGACGAGAGTGGTCTTAGTATCGGTGATTTGATCTGCACGAATCGCAATGGGCCGGCCAGGGGCTTTTAGTACTCTACGTATTTGGAGGCTTGAGCTCGAAGATGAAGAAGAAGAGGAAGAGGAAGCCGAGGAGAGAAGGGAGAACAACGGGAGCAAGGCCTGTTGTTGATGTTGTTGTCGGCGGCGGTGAGAGAGAAACCAGAACATGGTGTGGAGCGGAGGAGGAGGAGGAGGAGGAGGAGGAGGAGGAGGATGGGGAAGAGAGAACTGGTAGCAGTAAAGCCCGGTGTGTTTTCTTTTGATCTTCGGTTATTACTACTACTAGTAAATATAGGAAGAGGAAGAGAAAGAGGCCGAGGAAGCAACTGAAGGGAAGAGGAAGGCAGGAGGGGCTTAGCGAATGACTGCTCTGGGTGTAAGAGGGTGAGAATGCAAGTGTGCGGGGGGAGGGAGAGAGAGGGAGAGAGAGGATAAAAGATTAATCGACAATCCTAATGAGTGAGAGGGGGTGGATACGAGAAACAAGGTGAAATTTATAAAATTGCTTGGTCTAGCTAGATGGGGATAGTCTAGCAACAAACTAAAGAAAGAAGTGGCCTTATCATTTACATTAACAACAAGGACAATAAGAATAACAGGGCTTGGAAAGAGCATGATGCCATGCCATTGCGGGCTGGGATGGCCTTAACTTGTCTAAATTAATCCCGCTATAGCCCCATCCCGAGGCTGAGCAGGGAGGAAGAAAGAGAGAGGTAGGAATGAAAATCAGATTTACCAAAAGAAGAGGAAAAGAGTAAGAAAATGAATTTTAACACCTCTACTTTTTTCTTTTTTCTTTTTGTTCTTTTTTCTTTTTGTTCTTTTTTCTTTTTGTTCTTTTTTTTATTTTTCTATTTTTTATTTTTTTCCTGCGCGCCCTGTCTGTCTTGCTTCAGAAATCAGGCACCAGGTGAATTACATCCACGTACTGGAGAGAACTTGTCAATTATAGTTAGTACCAAGTTAGTCGATCTGAGAAGTCAACTGGTAAGGCTGAAGGAGCTGCAGGAGGAAAGGAACTTGGGAAGAACTGACACATACTCTCCGTGTCGGTAACTACCTTACATGCAAACGGACACTGTAGCTGTAAGCTGTAAGCTGTAGCTGTAGCTGTCGCTGTCGCTGTAGGTGTGTAACACTCTTCATGATGACATCAGCTCCGGGAAAGCTGATGTCACTTTTTCTTCTCTCCTGGTCCTTCTAGTGACCCTCTTACCCTCTTACACTCTCTTCTCCATATCCACGGATGGGCCCGGCGCATACGTTCCATACTTTCTGAAGACTGATTGATGCTGGGTTACAGTCGATCCTCCATGATCATCGTCATTACCCATGATGTTCTTCCCCCTCCTTCCGAAAGAGCTTCCCTTCTTCTCTTACTCACACACACTTCTTTTTTTCTTTTCTAAAACTTTATTCTTCTCTTCCCCTCTATCTTTCTCCCTCAAAACTCTCTCCCTCTCTCCCTCTCTCCCCCCCTCTCTCTCTCTCTCTCCCTCTTCCTTTTATTCCTGGCGATACTTCTCACCAAGTAATGTCTTGTTCGGCTTCCCCACGACGGTCGTTATCTTATCATGGCCACTGTTGAACGACCTACTTCTACCACTACCACCACGCTACCGCGTTCCCGCTCCGTGCGTCTGGCGGGTCAAGGTAAGATCGGCGCACCCGATCGCCCTGCTTAATGCTCCTCTTGCATCAGATTATCATGCCCCAGCATTTCGTAATAATAATAGTTATAACTATTGTGGTAATGAAACAACTAATTCCTTCCCAGCTGCCACGGCTGCCCTGTATGTGACCCATCCGGAGCGCAGACTATCGGTGCGTGAGCCTTCCACCGCTGAAACAGAACGCTTGAGTGAGTAACTCTGATCTTGCAAATTGATCGTATCTTCCTCACTAACACATACACCTCACTACCTTAGCCTTGAAAGCGACTGGTTCTCGCCCTGGCTTCAGCCATGCGTCAGCTGTCGCCGCCCTCGCCCATGCCAGAAAGGAAGCGGCCGCGATCCCGGTCGTTGAGCATCAGCGAACCTCGGATTCTCCGAGCCGGGAAGGTTATAAGGCAGCCGCCTATGTCTTTGGGAACCGTCGTTCACCCTCGACGCGCTCTCCCACTTCCTTTGATCTGAAGCAAGACCTGATCGCAGCAGATTCAACCGCTGGGCGTGTTTTAGATGATCGAGAGAAGGCCCTTCGTGCCGCCACCGGTGCGTTGAGCGGCAGCCGGAGGCGAGCCGACTCGGCACCTTTTGATGCCCCCCACCCAGGAATGAGTACCGATGAGGCCCTTGGAGATCTTGACAGCTCCATGGAGGCAAGCAGGATCCAACATATCGCTAACACGAATGCGCGTCTCTACACTGCATCCCCGCCAGTCTCTCCAGAGCGGGAGGAACACGAGCGGAGAAGTGTTATGCAAGCTGCTGCTCTGTCCATGGCCCGGGAGATGTATGCCGCGGTAGAGGCCAAGGAGCAAGGTCAGGTAGGCCATGCTCGAACGAGATCACAGCGTTCACCCACTGGCGCGGAGCCCATAGTTCTCCAACAGGCCTTCAGTCTGCAAGATGCCGCCGAAAAACGCGCGGCTGAAAAGCTCGCCAGCATGCAGGATGAGACAGCCATCTACCGGGAATATTATGGTCTTGAGCCTCAGCCCACTCGGTCCAGCTTGCAACCCCGCAGACGCCGAGCCTCAATTGACACGGATGTCTCCAGTGGGGATGCTGATCGAACATTGGAGATCCGGCACCAAATGTTCAGGCTTCGATCAAAGCTCAATGCCGTAGACGAAAGAAGGGAACAGGACCGTGCACTCTTGATGGAAGCGGCAAGGAAGAACGTCGATGCCACCATTCAAAACATGGAGATGAGAGTCTATGCGGAAACCGGTCGCGCACCCCCGTCCATGCAGAAGGAGATCGAAGAGGCTGCATTGGCACGTGCCATGCTAGAAAGGCAGGAGAGGCAGGAAGCAGACTCGCAGTACCAAGGGGTTGATCGAGTGAATATCAGTTCCAAACGCTTTGTGGACATGTCCGATGTGGAAGCGCTGGCTCGATCTCGGCTACAGCCCACTTTCGACGAAATCACCGACCGAGCCGAGAATCAACGCGCAAGAGAGCTGGAGCAAAGACTGGACCAGGAAGAAGCCCAGCGTCGAGAAGCCATGTACAGCGAACGCGAAGCAGAGACCAAAGCTGAAGAGAAACGTCTACGAGGTAAGTATTTGTCTGAAAGGAGTGTCGCACCGCTACAAGGTCCCTAACTCGCTATAGATTCTTTGAGACTTGAGAACAGGTCTAAAGATGAAAAGAGCTGGCTATGGAAAAGAAAATTGAAGCGCTTCTCCGACCATGAGCCAGATATTGCTGCTAGCACTTCAGGAGGAGTGGTCGATGAAGCAGCCACTGAATCTGCACCACAAACAATCGCCAATGATGATGTCAATGCAACTGCTGCTGGTGCGGTAGCCGAGCCCACTTCTAGCGAGCTTGTGACCAAACCAGAATCTAAGTTCAGGTCGTGGTTCAAAGGTCGCATGGGGCGCCGCACAAGCTCGAACCAGGCTGAAAGCCCTAGAGAGTCGAAGGAAGCCAAAGTAGGCACTGACGTGCCACAAACAGAAAATGTCGCAGGTCAAACAGGACTCGAAGAAACAGCTGGGCCATTGGGCGCAAGCAAGACCAAAGAAATCAAGGCTTCGAGCACATCCGAGCCACCGCAAACTACTGAAGGTGGTGAAGGAAGAGCATGGGACATTGCTCATCCAGAGGGTATATCTCCTGAGATGCCAGAGCTTCCTGCCACGGTTGAAGCACCCAAAGAAGGGGCTTTGGACGAGGAACCACAAAAAGCGGCGCTTCAGTCCCATCCCATGACGGCAATATCCATCGATGATGGCAGTGCAGAGCAACCTAGTCGTATCGATGAGGATGCAGTCCAACAAGCTTCTAATGCCAAAGACGTGCCGGCTGATGAGACCAGTCGTAACCGATTGATGTCTGGCTTCAAGAAGATGGTCTCGAGGAGCTCAACCGAGGCGAAGACTGGTGGGGCTGTCAAGCATGACGTCGCCCGAAGAAGCTCGGAGGCAATCCCAAAGCATACTGTAGAGGGAGCAGACCGACGGGCAAGTGTGCCTGAACATGGCCAAGTTCTACCCTCATCGGCGGGGAATCGAACCAGCGATGGCACGGGCCGAGAATCGCGCTTTTCCGAGAAATTGTAGAATGAAGCTGGGTGCCTGCCGCTCTGGTGCCTGCCGCTCTGTGGGCGTTTTGTCTGGTTCCGATACCTTAATCTGAGAGGACCACCACTCAATCTCGTAGTCAACCTCTATTAGTTAGTTCTGTCACTAATCCTGTTTTATGGTTCATGGTTCATGGTTCACGGTTAGTGTTTATGGGATTTTTTTTTCTTTCTTTTTCGTCGTGTCCGGTTTCTTTAGGTTTTTATAAGGGGTTGGGGAGGCTGCTTTTCGTCTAAAAGGGTACAAGGATCCTGGGTACAGTACAATAAATCTAATGCCGGATAAGCCCGGAGGACTATAAGTCGATAAGTGATATTTTATAGTTGTATGTAATGTAGTAGTTAGTGTTTGTGTCTAATGATCATAAAGAAGAGCGTGAGGCTGAGACTAGGCCTAAAGAGCAACTGGTCGGTTTCACATTCCCCCGATCCACTCCCGCTCCCATCCATCCATCTCTCCTTCACGTTTCCCCATCTCCTCATCCCCTGGCATGCTCGGCATGGTTGCATGCATTCTCGTATATGGTTTAGATTAGTCTCCACGGCCACCCACAAACATATACTTCCGAATTCTATTAACAATCTTCCCCTCTAAGCGATGGTCATAGCCCACCTCCGCCAGTCGAGTATTGACCTCGACTCGGCTGATCGACCATTTGACAATATCATCAACTTTCGGGATGTTGGCCGAACCGTCAACGAGGTGCTCGGTCGACGGTATGTAGGGCACAACGACGCCTACAACGCATTGCTAACAACTCCTGCACAGGGTAATCAAAGAGGGTCTTCTCTTCCGAAGTGCCAGGGTACAGTACCTATCCCTGTCTATCATTCCAGATTTCACTCCCGCCAGAGTACTGTATGATCCAGCTACTCGATCCAAGGAGAACCACTCCAGACCACCTCAGTGGAACTAAAATCCTCTTTCTCCATGTAATCTAGTTAGACGAAGCCTCCGAGCGTGACAAGCGTCGTCTGACTGAAGAGTACCATATCTCCACCATTATTGACCTTCGATCCAGGTGGGTGTACAGTGCACGCGTAACTTCACCCCTCCCAGAAGGCGTCTGAGACACAGATACATGGTGCCCAGGAACTAAAGCCCTTGGATCCCAGTACTGAACACCACATGGCCGCCACGAAACGCCTTTCTGAGTTGGAGATCTCCCGTGCTTCCTGCAATCAGTCTAGCGACCATGCCAATCCCACTACTGCAACTGCATCTCCCACGTCTCCTCCTCCCACGACCTCCTCCTCCTCCTCCAGCCCAGATGACATCCACCTCGTTGATCTCCCACATGTCCAACGTAGGCTGGTCAGTCTCACCGGCAGAGCTTTTGAGCGAGCTTTACTTTGGCGCCTTGATTGGTGGAACTTCCTGTAATTTCCCCCTCCCCCCCCACCTTCCCGCCATCTCTTCCCTCCTCTCTTCCTGGGTTTCCCTTCCCCTTCCCTCTTTTGAAGTCGGGGAACCTCTTGACAGGTCCTTGGCCCCCAATACCCACCACATAAACAAGAAAAGAAAGAACGAAAGAGGGGGGAACTCGCAGGCGGCAGCAAACCAGACGGAGTACAGACTAACCAGTCTTACCTATCCAAGAAAAGTCATTACGCTTGCAGCATCCGGCTACCGGGCCGACGCTGTCATTATCGTGGGCCAGCAGGTCATGTCTCCACGCGGCCTCATCGGGCTTGGCATCGATACTCTCGATAGTAGCTTCAGCGAGATGAGAGAGATTTTCGAATTGCTTGCCGGTAGCGAGACACAGGCTAGCTCGGAACTTAGCACAACCGATAGTAGCACGGATCCTTCGTCTGCCGCGTCACCCTACCCTGTTCTCGTCCACTGCACTCAGGGTAAAGACCGCACGGGGTTGATCATTCTTCTCCTTCTGCTTCTGACGGGTGCTGTAACCCCAGAAGCCATCCGGGCCGACTATGTTCTCTCCGAGGGAGAGTTGGTCGTCGAGGTGGAGGAGCGGATGAAAGAGATCCGCATGCTAGGGCTGTCAGAGGACTATACCAAATGTCCCGATGGGTTTACTGCACAGATCTGTGCGCATCTAGAGACTAAGTATGGGGGCGTGGAGGGATATCTGAAACAGGTGGGGGTGGACCAACTAGACCTGGAGCGAGTCAGGAAAAGTTTACTCGCATGATACATCTTAGGCTAGGTTCAGCATGATAGAATAAAAACCCTATGGGTAGAATCTAGACGACTCTCTACAAAACCACAATTGGGAAGCAACTAAGTACAACAATTGAAGCATGGCATATACGCAATGATAGTCTGATATCATGTAAAAACTGGTAAGTCATCATGCATTCCAAATACAAGAATTAGGCAGAAATGACATCCAAGATGATCACACCAGACTCAAGAAGACAGAACAGTCAGGGTCAAGAGATATGCCAAAAAGAAAAAAAAAAAAAAAAAACTCCATCTGCTCAAAACCAATTCACAGGGTATCATGACGTTATGCTCTCGTCTCACATGTGTGAATATATATATATATATTTATATGTGTGTGTCCACTGAAGGTTATCGAACTCTCCAAGGTGGAAGAAATTGAACGATTATCTAATAAATCCGTTGACCGCGATAGTAGTTGGCATTGGGCCCGGCCGAGTCGGTGGTGACGGGTACTTCTTCAGTCCCTTCGTCGCTGCTGTTGCTGACATGGGCGTGCCCGTTCCGGCCCATCTCGATGCGCTTCTCGCCCTGCGGCACGTGTTTTCGGGTGCGAACCGAGGGCAACAAGTCAACCACAAAGGACAGGACATAGAATGTAAAAATCAAAGCGATCACTGTAGTTCAGGTACCGTCTATCAGTTATCCCGTTCAATTTCAGCACGATCACTACCATATGACCTACCCCATTCTAAGACCGCAGCGGCATTGCGATAATGTCCGCCCTTATTTCCCAAGACGCCGAACGCAATGGCCAGCGCAATCTCGATAATGACGAAGGAGAGCTTGATGATGAAACTGGCCAGGAGGACACGATGCTGGGAGCGGTAGAAAATCCCTAGCCGCCAGTATTCGCAGCAGATGAGGATTGCGCTGATGAGGTAACCCACCCTGGCAAATGGTAAGGCGAAATGCGTTAGCAACTCCTGGCTTCTTTCCAATGCGCGCTTCTTTCACCGGCCGTGTTCCAACAGTGCTATGTGCTGCGCTTTGCTGGTACGTTGAATAGGACTTACAAGAACATCACCAGAAACCCGTCATGCATATGCGGATGCCGCAACGTATCGAAGATTGATAGCAGGATCAAACCCAGTGCACCGGCGATCGAGAAGCAGATGGAGGCGATCGCACAGCTTTTATCAAACAGACCCTTGTTGGGTACCAGCTGCCCTGCGTGACGAAGCCATCGTTCGGAGAGAAAGGAGAGGTCGAGAAAGGCGACAGTCACGCAGCTCCCTGCAATGAAAAGGGGCTTGAGGCCCTGAGCACCAATGTCGGAGATATATCTATAAATGTCCAGAGATAGTCCCGTTAGTTCGTGAACTGGGGGCTGAAAACTGGACATCGATGCTCGTGTGGTTTGTCTTGACGACAGTCACAGGGTATAGACTCACGCGATTGTTTGGCCGGTTTCCATACTGGCGTATATAGGGCTACCTTCTCGAGCCCAGGTTGCCAACATGGCAATTAGCATGGCTGGATCAAGCAACCAAATGGTTAGCGATCGTGCCTGAATATTGCGGTGGGATAAGATGAGCTACGTACCAACCCAGGTGCATGCTGAAATGACTGGAAAGACCCAAAATGAGATGATCCACATGGTCAGGTATGTATCAAATCCTTGCGCCGCGATCGATGCGCCGTAAGAAGCCTTGTACGAGACTGTTGTTCGTTCGTTTTCCCGTTTTCTACGAGGAATAATGACTTGAGGCCGTTTTAATGATGTGATGAGTAGTACAGTACTGGAATTAGTACAGTACGTACACCTTGGGAGCGTTCAAGCAATCGGCTGGAACGGAAGGGGCGGAAGTGGCTTAAGCCTGCCGATGCAGTACCAAGCTTTGAACCTGGGAGCAGGCCTTGGATGGAATTAATTAGATTAATGTAGAGATTTTGGAACGAACAAACACAAGACGACGAAGATGATAGGGAAAGAGGGAAAGAGGAGAGGAGGGTAGGGAAAGGAGGTGATTATCAATAATCAATTGCTCAGGCAGGAAACAGATCCATGACGACGATGAGAAGGAAGAGAGACCCACCGAGCAGCATTACTCGTACTAGCTAAGGTTCCTTAGTCTAACATCTCACTCAGCATTAACATCATCATCATCTTCTTCTTCTTCTTCTTCATCATCATCATCACTCCGCAGGCTTCGTCGACGTCATCGTCGCAATTTTCCTCTTCCCCCTCCGGCAAATCTTTCCATGTTCAAGCTTAGCTCAAGCTTAGCAAGTCTCTTCATCTCCGATTTGTTTATACTCGAGAGGCCTCCTTTTTTTTTTTTCTTTCTTTTCTCTATCCCCTTCCCTTTTCTTTCTTGGGTCAGGTGGTTATATCCGAAGGCAGCCCGCTCAGTTACTATACTTACGCTCAAATAATACATATATATATATATATTCAGATCCATTCTCATATGCTGACTCTAAACCCACTTCCTAGGCTAGTCGTGAACCAGTTACGTGGGTACTCCTTCCTTGTTTGATCCACCCCGCCAAATAAGTTACCACGTATCCACGTACCTGCTAGGATCTTCGCATCGCACGGTGACAATGACAATTGCTTTTGAGTCGGATAGCTAAAGGACACTCTAATCTAAACAAATCTCCAGGACACGCTTCATAGGTTACAGGCACAAGCTTACGGAGCTTCAGGGACGACTGCCGCGATGATAACTTCCTCTCCCAACTGGCACCCGCGTTGGCATGCCAAGCGGCACTCGCCGCTCCAACACGTCTACTATGTGCACTTCATCGCTACTGTCCTCCAGCCCACTGCTTCGATTTGCTCCATCCTCTCGGGGGTATTGCTCCGTCACTCTCCCCGGCCACCCTTGATTCATAGTCGCACTCCGTGCGCTGTTAGGACGATCGTCAAAAATATTCCGATAGCTAGATATCGATGTCTTTCCTGAATGGCCGACCGAGTCGCGTCGAGGATCTAGCGGGTACGACGGAGATTCTATAGGATGAAGGGGCCGATGGGAGGATACCCGTTGGGTATCGTCGTGGAGAGGACGCGTGAAGGCCGGCCTCCGCATGGAGCCAGGATTGCGAACAAGAGGTACTGCTGGTAAACGCTCCAGTGAGTAAGCTGGCTGAAGTGGAGATCGAGGGGGCGTGTGACTAGACTGAGAGCGAGAAGATGGCGATCGGGGTGAGGCTTCGGGGTTGTGAGAAGCACCCGAAGTGCGCGCCCAAAAGGCATAAGCACTGTTGTTTTCTGCAAGGGGAGACGGCACGCTGTGCTTTCTCGGGGAGGATGACACATAGGAACCACCACGAGGTGCTTCCCCTGCAACTCGCTGGCTGGAACTTTCAGGAGGCTTCAGGTATCGATTGTCAAACAACGTCCCTTTCCAAGCGTTGGCACGGGTTTCTTGCTCGGTTCCGCTCCTCGACCCGGTCCGCATGCGTTCGATCGCCTCTAGCTCCCGTTTCGATAAACGCACGTTCTTCTGGCCCTGAACCTGCGCGTGTCGTATCCGGTCGAGAGCCTGATCTACCAGTCGCTCCTCCTTGTCCTTCATGGCCAACTGCACTGCATAAGCCACCGTGCTGTCCATGCTATCCTGTAGGTCGTAGTCCATCTCATCGACAGCAGCCATTTCGTCTTCGTAGAACGCGTCATACTCTACCAATCGCCTCCGTCGAATCGATCCTCCATTGATCTCCCGATCCGCTGCCTGCCTTGCCTGTGATATGCGCATATCTTGACGACTGTACATATCGTCCTCCTCACTGTCAAGCTCCTCAACTCTTGAGCTCTCATCCACCCACGGAGCCGCACGTCTCCTGGTTTGTCTCCCCACTCGTGCCCGCGGTGGTCTTCCCCATCGGGGCATACCGTAAGGAGTTCGCGGCCGACCACCTAGACCGCCTCCTCGGAAAAAGCATTCTCGATTGGTTTATCCATGAAAGCGGCGTGACCGAAGACGGCCACGCCGGTGGCTCCGATCAACCAGAGCACAGTAGCGATGGGCGAGGCCCAGAATCCTAGGGGGACCGCGACAAGTAGCAGCCCAGTGTATAGCTGGGAGGTGTTGAAGCGGGCAACGCCCAAATCGAGGTCTCGGCCCTGGAGCTTGCCAATTCCGTAAAGACCACCTGTCACGAAGATGATAACAAAGAGCAGGACCGGGTTGGTCAGCAAGCTATAGATGCTAAGCATCACGAAGACGGCAGCATAATTGCTCGAGAAATAAGACAAGTTGTAGTTCACTCGGCTCTGAACCTCGCCAAAGTTGGCGGGCTTTGAGATACGCTTGACATCCAGGAATTCGGAAACAGGACGGAGGTTAGCGAAGCGCGTGCTAAAGGATTGGGAGCGAACACTGTTGAAACGGTCACCGAATCGCGAGGTGATCGCATCAATAGGAAATTGGAGGGGACTCATGTTGGAAAGTCTAGTGGATGGCGGAAATGGATGTAGAAGGAAGGAATAGTAAACACAAACTTAGGTTGGGTAGCAGAATAGAGGTAGCAGAAAGATGTAGCTCGTGGCGACGATGATGGGCAATAAAGATGAAAGAAGAATTGCTTTGGTCAACACGAATGAAACGAGGTAGGCAGGAGATCAAGAGAGAGAAAAGGGGGGGGGGGGAGGAATGGCGAGAAGTCGGAGAAAGCAGTGGTGAACAGAAAGAGTTTCCGCAACTGAATGACTTGAACTGGCTTAGTTGGCCCGAACGCCCAAGCCCAGTCCTTTTTGGTCACCCCCGGCGCGCGGAAAGCCAACTAAGCATAGACACAGACCACAATAACAGACAAAGTGCTGGGGAGCAAAAGACAAGTCTGTCGACTTGGGAAGCAACCAAAGCCTCCCAAACCGGCCAAAACACAAATTCAAACTGGATGGAAAGGGCAGGGGAAAAAATCAAATTGGATCCGTGAAGTAACTTGTTAGGGGAGAGCACGAAAACAACTGAAGAAGAAAGTTGAAGTGGATGCTCTAAGAATAGAAATAGAGAGAAAGAGAGATGCTGGATGCGGCAGCGCAGTGGGGAAGCACAGCAAATGTCTTGTCGACATGCTAAGCAGACCAAGGGCAATTAATCATCCTCTCTTATGTTCTAGTTATCTTTCTTTCTTTCTTTCTTTCTTCCTTTCTTCCTTTCTTCCCTCTTTTCACTTTAACTGTCTTTTTTGTCCTTGCCTTCAGTCCCTGGTGAGAGGCGTGTTCTCTTTCCGTCCAGGCACCGGTAACGTACAGTAGCCGTATCGTTGCCTCAGGCTGGGAACCTTTGGAGATAAAGAGGATCAGAGGTTAAGTAGTGCAAGGTATCGAAGGAAAAGGAAGGGACCGAGTCTGAATTTAAGCCTTTTGATTCCTCCTCTTCCTCTTTCTTTTCCCCTCAGAGCCCAGCCCTTAGGAATCGGAGAACCCTGGCCGTAATGCACAGTACATTCATATGTAAACTGGAGTATTCGCACATCAATCACACTTTGATTGTCGCAGCTCGCTTCATCACGCGTGGTCTGAAGCGAATTACAGTGCAGTACAGTATTGTACATAGTCAGGGATTCTACCTATTTTCTACCTGACAGGTCAGAAGTGACTCAATTCTAATCTTTATTGGTCCACGTCGTGCATAGAAGTGAATTATTGTTATATTGGTGTTAAAGAAAACCTGCTGCATACCTCTCAATACATAGTAAGCTAACTTGACTGCGCTCTTTCAGCAGAGGAGAGGAGAAGACGAAGAACCTACATTTGTGTAGAAGGTGGTGTACTCGTTACGGTAAAGTTAACATTACTACAAGAAATAGTCAGGGCGGTGTGATGCGTGGCAGTTCCGACTTGTGGAGAGGTGTACTACTGTATGTACTGTACTGTATATACATACACCAGTACAGTACAGGAGCAGCGAGAGTAGATGACAGATAAGCCATTGAATCAAATTTTCAATTTCCTTAATCTCATCTCGCTCGGATTCCTACAAGTACGGAGTAAGTATTCTTGAACTGGGCAGAGCGGTCTTGACCGCCCTATTTTCCCACCATGAAGCCCTTCTCACTCCGTCTGCTATTCTTTGCTGCTCTGTTTGTCCTGTCTGCGGCTTGGACCAAAGAAGGTAAATTCTCTGATACTCAACCTATTGTTCCCTGTTAACATTGACGTCACCTTAGACCACGAAATCTTCCAGCTTCGTGAAGAAGTCATCTCCAAAGAAGGCGCGAATGTGACATTCTACGGTACTCCCTCCGCATTGCTTTCCCTTGCTCCTACGCCATCAGTGTTGATTGATCAATCTAATACTTGTGTAGACGTCTTGGGCGTGAAACCGAATGCCAACCAAGACGAATTGACCAAAGCCTACCGTCAGAAGTCAAAGCTCCTCCACCCTGACAAAGTGAGACGATCCTTCATCGCCAACAGCTCTAAGGACAAGTCAAGAGCCAAAACCAACAAGGCAGGTGTCCATGTTAACAAGGGCCCTTCGAAACGTGAGATCGACGCGGCCGTCAAAGAAGCCCATGATCGCGCGGCCCGTCTGAACACTGTTGCCAATATTCTGCGTGGAGCTTCTCGGGAGCGTTATGACCATTTCCTGAAGAATGGTTTTCCGAAGTGGAAGGGTACCGGATACTACTATTCACGATTTCGCCCGGGCTTGGGCTCTGTCCTGGTCGGGCTGTTTCTGGTCTTTGGGGGCGGCGCCCACTATGCCGCACTCGTGCTGAGCTGGAAGCGTCAGCGGGAATTCGTCGATCGGTACATCCGTCAAGCCCGTAGAGCTGCATGGGGCGACGAGTCGGGTGTTCGAGGTATCCCTGGACTGAATGGTGGTGTTGCTGCCGAACCAACCACGCCAACTCCGGAACCTGAGCCCAGTGCCGTGCCAATGAACCGACGCCAGAAGCGCATGATGGAGAGAGAAAACCGCAAAGAGGGCAAGAAAAGTGCTGGTCGAATCAACGGTCGCAGCTCTGGGACTGCAACGCCCACCAATGAGGCCGTGGAGCCCACCGGCGAAAGGAAACGTGTCGTCGCGGAGAATGGAAAAGTTCTCATCGTGGATTCGGTCGGACATGTGTTCCTGGAGGAGGAGACGGAAGATGGAGAACGCCGAGAGTTCCTCCTCGACATCGACGAGATTCCACGCCCTACCTTCCGCAATACAATGGTGTTCCGGATGCCCGGCTGGGTCTACCACAAAACCCTCGGCCGAGTGCTTGGCTCATCCGACGCCATGGGTAGCGATATCAATGAGCGCGAGGAACTGGCCGAGACAGCGCAAAATATAGTCGAGGGTGTGATTAGCTCTGCTACAACTTCCAACAAGGGCGCATCCAGGCGGAGGGCGAAGCGCACACAAAAGTCTTAACTTCTTGGACCAAATTTCGAGGGAATGAATCCAAGCCCAACATTCTTGCTTGGATTGTTTTTCCGGCCTCGTCATTTTCAGACATTGAATAGATGCGCCAATGAATGTGTACTTACCATTCGACTCCGGCTGTTTGTATATGAGTGCAATGCTCTGGAAATCTACTCAGTACAACTTAGAAGTCACGTTCTTAGTAGGTGGTCTAAGCGCAATTCTGTTAATAGATCATTACATAAGAATAAGCAGTATTGTATTATAACGGCTATCCTATGACTGCAATCGCTACCAAGGAGACTGTCAGAAGTTACAGTCATATAGCCCGCAATTGCAAATTTCGATCAAAATATGGTCATCATCTTCGTAGTCATATCCAGTCGTCTTCAGATGTCCCAAGCTCATCGCAAATTCGGCGAAAGCGCATTGGTGAGTAGAGTATACACGTTGGGTCTCATAAACAGTTTGGCGTCGTATCGGAAAGGCAGAGGCTCGAATTCTAGGAGCTATATGAACATTTTGGCAATGCTGAACAGTCCACTGATATTGTCCGATAGGCCGGCCCCGCCAGGTCGCAGCGCCGATGCTCCGAGGAGGTTCTTTGGCAAACGGATACCGATCATGCCCAATAGCCTTTGCAGAACACCAGTTGTCAGAAGTGGGATCACGAGCAGCGTCAGGACCTTTATAGGGTGGTCGCGTGCATATTTCCACGCATCGCGAAAGATGCGCTGGATGATGTGAACTATCCGTGCGACAAAACCTTCCCTGGGCCGTGCGCGTCGTGACGATGAGGAGAACACCGATGGGCTGGATCGTCCTGCACGATTGATACCACTGCCCAGGCTGAAAACTGATGGTGCGGAATGGCGGGCATTGTAGGACGAGTACGTAGAACGCCGGGAAGGGGAGGAGCGTCGACGAGACTGATGTCTGTGAGATGACGAGGAGGTCGGGGATTTTCCATCGAACCAGCCCATTGTGGATTATTTTCACTCAGCAATGGGGCCTAGCCAGCAGCCAATGGAGCCTTGAAAAGGTGACTGTTCCCTTTGATCGCACAGACTGTTTAAACAGTGGTTGATAAGTGGAGGACGTGATGGTGGCCAGATCTGCCGATAAATGGGAACAATAATTGATACTAGTTAGGATGAAAGACGAGAACAATCGATCAGCGAGAGGGACGTAGTGCCCTCGAGGACAGGAATGTGTTCTTTCTGAGATCGGATCGACAAGAGGGCGGGAGTCAATTGGGACTAGTCAGCTTCAGATGCACGAGTCCCGGCCCCCAATGGCTCGCTCTAAGTTACTACCTAAGTATTAAATTCTAAGCGATCGTGGTCGCGATTATGAAGCTGATCTTGTCAGTGTAGACGAGACTGGGGTCTAGGTATGAGTAGGATAGGATGCCTTGGGAATCTTGTCATCTTCAATCTATGTAAAGTAACATAAGTTTGCCAAGATGCAAGTATGACTTTGGTGTAAGTGAAGAATGTTTATAAAATTGGTAGAAACACTGTACTGTGTACTGTACCTAGGCATATTTAAAGCAAGAACCTGCTTGCGAAGGGCAAATCCGTCAGGGACCGGGCTCCCCGTGGCCGTGGGCCGTTCCTGGTACTAACTTACATAGTATTATGCGTATGTACAGTACAATACAGTCAGTACATGACTGTACTCACAAGGAGTAACTAGTTAAGTTAGGTAAGCCGGCTCAGCTCTCGCTGCCTTACACAAGAAGCTCAGGCACTCACTCTAATGGCTGCCGACGTCATGGTCGGGGGCGGTTGACTCTTTCGTCGGTTCGACCGCTTCAGCAACCACTTTTGCCTCAAGTCCACTAACATAGCTCTTAGCGCGGAACAAGTTGGTGACCTTCATTTACTAAATTGAATCTCTCTTGAGCAAATTGATTGTAATAAATCATGGCGAGTGAGTGCATCTCAACAGATTTCCGCACAAATTCGAGCAGAACGCATACTCACTATATCTCTTAGGACAGAGAGACCTTTGTAAGAGAGCCACCGCGAAGTTGAAGACACACTGCTAGCAGACTGACTTCGTCATTTATATAGATAAGGTTCTTGGGGTATCTCCTAAAGCAACCCAGCAAGAAATTCGCAATGCATACAAAAGGTGCGGCACGTTACTGATTTGTTTAGAGTCAGCACAACACTGACACATCTACAGAGAGTCACTGAAGTCGCACCCCGACCGAGTGCCTGCCGATTCGCCTGAGAGGCCAGCTCGGACTCGTAGGTTCCAAGAAATCAACGATGCTTATTATACGTTATCGGACATATCACGCCGGCGCGATTACGATGCGACACGATTGGCAGATGGGGTGGATGAAGAATATGATATACCTCAAGGAGGTGCCGGTGGTTTCCCATGGTCCGATTTCGGCTTCGGTTCCGCTACTGATAGAGAGCAACGGGCATCGGAGCAATTTGGATCTGTTTTTGAGGAGATGCTGCGCGAAGAGGGTCTTGCGAGTGAAGACACCGATGCTGATGGCCGCACGCAAACCCGTCCTACGTCACGCTTCTGGTCCATTGTTGGCGGTATTAGTGGCGGCGCACTGGGGTTCATCATTGGTAATGCTCCCGGGGCGTTGGCTGGAGCTGTCGCGGGTAATCGACTGGGAGCGGTACGTGACGCAAAGGGAAAGAGTGTCTACGAGGTCTTTCTGGAGCTGCCTCAAACCGACCGTGCTCGGCTGTTGAGTGAGTTGGCGGCCAAGGTCTTCCAGACTACAATGGGCCATTGAGGACATTGACCTGTGACAATGCAGAGTGGGATACTCATCCCTTGTGTGCAGCAGTCATATGCCCTCTTAGACTTATTCATTCTTCCTATAGTGTCAATGTGGGTAATAGTGTCTTGGTTTTTGGGATACTTCAAGTCTACGATCATATTCGCTACAGTCTTTCTCACAATGCTGCTTAGGCACCAGGTAGAGCGCCCAAGAAGTATTATATATATGAAATGTGAGACTATCTGTCTCCATCTGCCCTTGCTGGTCAATGCAGCAGCAATGAGACTGGATAAAGCAACCCACAGTACGTAGGTCATCGAAGCTGCGGGACTTATCAAGGTTATCGATAAGCCATCGGGACCCACGTGGATCGACTGTCTCGGCCTCGACTGTCTTCACACAATGCAGCCTTGATGCCTGAGCTAGTCCCCCGCTATCACCTCCCCACTTCACCGCATGCGTCCTTCCCCCCCTGAATCCGACCATTTCCGCCGTCTTGTCGCTCTCGAGTGGCTATTGAAAGTCTCCCTTTCTTCTCCTCGCTCTTCACACCAAGTTCACAAACAAGATCTCTTAATTGTGTTTGGCATCATGGCAGAAGGCGCAAGCGTGTATCCATCTTTGCCGAATCGGCCTTTACAGGGGACCATTTGTCTTTTCGATGTCGACAACACACTGTCCCTCCCGAGAAGGGTGAGCTACTCCCTCAATCTCAGAAGTTGTGAACTTGGATCAATTGATCTTGCTGTCTTTGATGTCAAGCGACCGAGAGACTAATAATCGATCGCTCGTGACCAGGGTGCCACTCCAGAAATGCTGGAACTCCTCTCTCGACTTCGCCAGAAGTGTGCTATCGGATATGTCAGTTCTTCAAATGGAAACTTGACTCCAGCGATCTAATAATGCCTAGGTTGGTGGATCGGATTTCGCCAAGCAGCAAGAACAGCTTGGCTCAGCTACAACAAACGTCACATCCCTCTTTGACTTTTGCTTCCCTGAGAACGGTTTGACTGCTTTTCGTCTGGGACAGCCGCTCGCTGGAACCAGCTTCATTGAGTGGATTGGAGAGGAAAGATACCAGGAGCTGGTCAACTTCTGCCTTAAATACATCGCGGACTTGAAGATTCCTAAAAAGCGTGGTACCTTCATCGAGTTTCGCAACGGAATGATTAATGTCAGCCCCATTGGCAGAAACGCTAGCTTCGACGAGAGAAATGAGTTCCAAGCGTGTGTCTCCCCTCAGGCCTAGCGGTCTGCATGCGACTCGAGCTTGACTGACTAATGTCCTCTCTGCAGATATGATGATGTGCACCATATCCGTCGAGACTTGGTAGAAGCTCTCAAGAAGAAGTTCCCTGATTGGGGTCTCACGTGAGTCCTGGGACAGGCACCCCAACACATTCTGTACTCCCTTGTTGCTAATCACACTGTGGACTTAGCTACTCTATTGGCGGCCAGATCTCGTTCGATGTTTTCCCTACTGGCTGGGACAAAACCTACTGCCTGAAGCACGTCGCCGCTGAGAAGGAGATGTCTGGCGTGGAGTACAAGACGATTCACTTCTTTGGAGACAAATGCTTCGAGGGAGGCAACGACTACGAGATTTACAGCGACTCTAGGACAATCGGTCATGCCGTTCAAAACCCCGATGACACCATGAAGTTATTAAAAGAGCTTTTCGAGCTATAGATGGGCCGAAGAAGTGCTATAGTCCGGCTTTCTCTCGGAAAGTGATCTATATGGATTGGGGCAAAAGTGGGATACCTAAGCTCGCGTTGGGTTCCGAGGAAAATATACTAATTGGTTCAGAGGCATGAGTGCAAAAGACGATTTGTACTGTAGATGGTTGCTATATGAAGTATAATTCAAACCAGTCACGGTTTTATTGTAAATTATGTATATAAGTGTATATTTTTCGACTCATGAAGGAACGCGCAGACACGCCCACGCTTTTATAAACCGGAAACGCCCGGGGGTTCTGGTATCTTGCGTAAGACCACAGAATGCCGTTGAGGGTGTAAATGGCAGCAATCACATGCAGGCAAGCAAGCAAGGCCCGCCGTCCCCGACTTCGGGGTTTAGTCATCGTCAACCGGCACCTCATCATGCACCATCCTTCTTCACCCAGATCAGGCTCTGGCTCAGGCTCTTTTACCACGCGCTTTTGTGTGGCCATCACTTCTTTTGGTATCGCATGACTCTGTGCCAATAATGGCGTCTCAAAAGACAGTTGCGGAGGTGCCCCGTTCCATGCTTCCCCGTCTTACATGGAACGGCTCTTCTGCTCGGACGACTATTGCACCCCCGACCACTCTTCCAGCAGCGCGCCAACAGAAGCAGCAATTGACACGCTTCTGGAACCAGGCTGGACGGCAGTTACACAGTCTAGCTAGCCTCTCTTCTTCCTCCCTAAGTCACTCCGCCACACCCCGGGGCACTGGTGCTTCGTCGGCGATCGCAAAGCGGTTTGCCTTGGCCCGCCACACAACCAGCCCTCCCGATGTACAAGGCCTCGGCCATCCTATCCGCTATGACGGTGTCTATGTCGCCGCCTTCAAGCCTGCTCGACGTGCTTTCCATGCTTCCACAGTCCGTCAACGAGATCACCATTTCGATACTCTGAAGTTCGTACAGCGGTTGAAGGATGAAGGGTTCAGTGAGGAGCAGGCCGTCGCCATGATGAGAGTTTTGAATGATATCATCGAAGAGTCGATCCAAAATCTTACCCGTACAATGGTTCTAAGAGAAGGTAGGGATATATCGCAGAATGATGCAGATCGCTAGGATGCTTATACCTTGTCGTCGTCCAGACACCGAACGATCAGCATATACACAAAAAGTCGACTTCGCCAAGCTCCGCTCCGAATTGCTAAATGCAGACTCGACCGAAGCGCAACTGACGCGCTCATCGCACGAGAAGATTGCTGCAGACCTTGCCAAGCTCAACTCGCGCCTCCGCGACGAGATTGGGCGCACACAGGCGTCCGTGCGCCTGGATTTGAACCTCGAGAAAGGCAGGATTCGTGAAGAAGCGAATGGACAGGAAATGCGCATCAAGGAGACAGAAACACGGATCGAGCAGGAAGTTGCCGGCTTAAGGGAGCGTGTGGAAGCAGTCAAGTTTTCCACTCTACAATGGCTCATGTAAGATCTCGTGATTCTTTGCTGCAGGAAGTATGGTATACTGACATATGTGCTCTAGGGGTGTCTGCACCGGTACCGCTGCACTCATTCTGGGTGCCTGGCGTCTTTTCATGTGAGAGTTTTAGCGCACTTGGAGGATTACATTTACTGCAACCTCAAGATCTGTATTATAGCAACTATTTGTTCACCATGTCTTGTTTTATGAGCATGCTGGAGCTCTACAGCGGCGTCCATCAGGGACTCACTGGAACACACCGCTCTCACTCTCATCCACCGATAAAAGACAATAATGCTCGAAAACAACCACCCTAGTGATCCATCCAGTTTCCAAGTGTGTTAACCTGAATAGTTCTGGTTCCGCCCCAAGTGACTGTGGTCAAGACTGGCAATTTTTTAAGCTCAGGGCTCCAATCAATAGTGACGACGAGGGCGACAGTATTGATAAGGAAAGCTAGTAGGATCTAGAGACAATAGGTTTGGGGACGCGGAGGGGCCTATTAGCAAACTTACGATGGTCGAGCGCCTCCCTCCTTAATTTCGTAACAGTCATTGTTGTGGAAGTTGGACTGGATGCTCGGTAGTGGCCTGGGAAGTACACCGAGACGCAGTACAATACTACGGCTTGGAAGGAATGCATTAATATGCATGGTCGGTGGCTCATAGATCTGTCTTGTCAACTTCATGAGGCTACCGCACAATTACGCTTTTCATAAGCTTGTAAACAAACCAGCTCGCCTGTGACATGGAAGGACTTGGTATTGACACGTCGACAGCAGAACCAGCGAAAATGAGGCGGTTGGGTACTTCAAATTGCTACAAGCCTTGGCTCATAAATGCCCCACATTCGAGGGGATTGCTGTTAATCTGCGACATGGTACTCTTGATTGCTCTACTCTAGATGCAGTACTGAATCGGGACACCACCACATATCAGGCCCCGAAATCTGAAGATTGCTTGTTCATCCACCACATTCAGAACTTCCAAGCCGGCTGGGTCAAGACCGTGACGGCAAGGTTACGAATTCATTAAGCCACACTTCTCTGCTCAGCGGCCTCGCCTTCCAAGAACCTCGCGACTTCACCTGCGGCATCCATGTGGGTACTGTTGGCTTTCCTGAAAAGGCATCGCCATAGATCGTCTTCCTGGACAAGTTCACCACCCAAGGGGCCGCTTGCCATCATTTTGGAAAGCGGCGCATCTTGAATCTCAAGAGAATTCGCTGCATCAATTGCTGTCTCGGTAAGCGTGGTGCTTGCCGTCTCATGAGCGCCATTTACTAGAAACTCTGATGGTCTGTCCTCTTGCTGTTCCTCCTTTTGCATGATATGGGCTAGACGACGCGACACAGACAGATCGTAAATCGATTCCTCAACAGTGTCAGAGACCAGATACATCCAGACGGTTGTTGGCCGATGCTGGCCTATGCGATGTACGCGAGCAATGGCCTGAAGCTCGATTGCAGTATTGATCAAGGGTTCACAAAATATGACATTTGTCGCACAAATAAGATTAAGTCCAGATGAATGGGCTCGGGCGTGCAGGAGAAAGCATTCCAGCTAGATACAGGCGACTGTCAGCATTAAGATTCTTAAATTTATAGCGTTGCGTACAACTCAGGTATGGCTCTCACCGCAGGGTCGCTCTTGAAATTTTGTATGCCATCTTTGCTGTCAACACTGCTGAACCCAATCTTGAACCGGGATAAGGCAGATGCTAGAATTTCAAGGAAGTTCTTGTACTGGGAAAACACTACCGACTTAGCCCCAGGATCGTGCTCACGGAGCCACATTATGTGGCGAGCCAGAGTATCGATCTTAGTGCCAAAAGAAGAATTCAAATCAATATTCTTGATCTCGTTTAGCGTGCTCGAACTGATATCATGGTATATTGAGTTTGTGGAAGACGGTCGTTCAGACATGGCCTTGGTCGGTGCCTTTTCTTCTTGCACAACATAATCCTGAGGCTTGTATGTGATCTGATGGAAATCGTTCGCTTTCAGCCTTCGTTTACATGTAGGACAAGTCCGATGCTGACGCCACCATATGCCCAAGCAATGCTGGCAATAGTGATGACCACATACAGTCAAAACACCTTATTGATGTAAGCAAAACCTGGCTCCAACTAGTCAGAGGATGCCGCAACTCACCAATCTCAAAGCCTGATTGGCATATCACGCATATTCTGGTGGACTCATCCACGCTCGGTTCGTCTCGAAGATGGATTAAATAGCGGTGCTTTGCGCGCAAAGCCGATATTCTTCCATCAATAATGTTCTCTTGAGAGAGCTTCGCCTCGAAGACGGCCTCATCTAAAGGCTTTCCGACGCTCTCCTCGTCAAACGGGGCCACGGTGTCAGAGATTTGCTGTAATTGACGATAGTACTCAAGACGATAATTCATCGTGTCCCGGAACATCTCAACCTCTCTCTCGAGGCTTGAAACAACCTTGGAATGTTCTGCAGCCATAGCACTGGCATTTTTCAACACCAAACTGGCGATTTCCATTTCGGCCCGAGCCCGAGCGCTTCCCTCAGTTGCCTGCCATTCAAGGGATGTGGTCAAGCTGCGAAGCTCACTGATAATACCACGAAGAGAGCCCAATTGAGGATCGGGCTTCATACGACTTCGCATGTTCATGATATTCAGAAACAGCTCTGGTGAAGGGCCCTCACCCTTCTGGGCCTGAGCGACTCCGCCTTTGACTTCATGAGCAATAAGCACATTCCTCTGTCCAGTCAGACAGTCGTGGCGATCAGCGAACATGGCGCGTAGTGCCTCCATATAAACATACATTTCATCTTGATGTTTGGTAGATCTTTCGTATTCGTTCCCTTGAAGCTCCGATTCATCCTCCTGGTCAATGAGCGACTGGGAAAGAAGATGAGCCATGGTTCGACGCCACTCGTCGTATTGTGCAGCATGTTTATTCATAGCCTCGCAGAAGTCTTCGAAATTCTCGAGCACACGGCGAGCCTCTACGCCTGTGTTATATATCTGAGGCTTCATCTTCGGTATGACCACATATCGCTTGTTGCGCAGCATCTCCTTGATTATTCTCATGTGATTTCCTACCTTCTTAGACACATCCGTCAAAATTTCCTTCCGAATGGACTTGGCAGTGGCGTACGCCTCCTCTTCCCGTTGCTCGAGAGATTTGAATCCATCAGAGTCAGGGTCAGTCAACTTGAGATCCGATTTGATCTGATAGTACGCATTGCCCATGAAGAATATACCCATATGCTGGACCTCAAGAGCAGTGCGGAGCCTCTGTCGGTAGGTGCCTATGCGATTACTCTTGTCCGAATCTTCACTCTCGTCATTGGTTGCCAGGTCATTCGATGCCGATTCTTGACTAGTGCCCACATTTGATACCCGAAGTCTCTCGATCTCTGTTTGAAGTCGACCTCGACAATCGTTGACGATTGCACTCGCTCTCTCAAAGCAAGTCCTCCACAGCTCAAGTGCTTCTCGTTTTCGCAAAGCATTCTCCAGCAATTGCCCACGGCGCATTCGCAACAAGAGACGTTCACGTTCTTGAGCATTTACTCTCACGTCGTTTTCATCAATCATAACCTCCAAAACTTCTTGGACTGATCGTAACGGACCGTTAGACCCAGCGGTAAATCCTCGACCCTGATTGGGATGAAGACACGTCTGGCGAAGTCTGGCA